AACTTCCAAAACCTACAGGGCCACCACCATCACCAGAACCTCCAGCTCCACCAGAACCTCCAGCTCCTCCAGAACCACCAGGACCTCCAAGACCACCAGGACCTCCAGAACTTCCAGAACCTCCACAACCTCCAAGGCCACCAGAACCTCCAGGGCCACCACCATCTCCAGAACCTCCAGGGCCACCAAAACCTCCAGCTCCTCCAGAACCTCCAGCATCTCCAGAACTTCCAGGGCCACCAGGACCTCCAGAACTTCCAGAACCTCCAGCTCGGGACACCACCGAGGTGGCATCTAAGGGGGGTTCGGTGGAGGGGGTGGAAGAGCTGGAGGTGGTTTTGGGGGCATCAGAGCTCCATCCAAGGTCCATGGTGGCATCTCTGGTGGCCTCAGAGCTCCATCCACAGCTCATGGTGGCCTTGGTGGCACCACAAACGTTGGTGTCCCCAGTGTCCCTGGTGGCCTCAGAGCTCCATCCAAGGTCCGTGGTGGCCTTGGTGGCATCTCTGGTGGCCTCGGAGGTCCATTCGTGGTCCATGCTTGGTTTGGTGGCATCAGAGCTCCAGCCGTGGGGCGTGGTGGCCTTGGTGACACTGGTGGCACCACAAGTGTTGGTGTCTTTGGTGTCCCTGGTGGCCTCAAAGCTCCATCCAAGGTCCGTGGTGGCATCTCTGGTGGCCTCAGAGCTCCATCCACAGCTCATGGTGGCCTTGGTGCAGTTGTGGGGCGTGGGGGCCTTGGGGGCATCTCTGGTGGCTTCAGAGCTCCATCCAAAGTCCGTGGTGGCCTTGGTGGCATCTCTGGTGGCTTCAGAGCTCCATTCGTGGTCCATGGTGGCCTTGGTGACCCCACAAGTGTTGGTGTCCCCCATGTTCCTGGTGGCCCTAGAGCTCCATCCAGGACCCATGGTGGCCTTGGTGGCCTCAGACATGTGTCCAAGGTCCATGGTGTCCTCGGGGACGTCAGTGACACAAGTGTTGGTGTCCCTGGTGGCCCCAGAGCTCATGGTGGCCTTGGTGGCCTCAGACATGTGTCCAAGGTCCATGGTGTCCTCGGGGACGTCAGTGACACAAGTGTTGGTGTCCCTGGTGGCCCCAGAGCTCATGGTGGCCTTGGTGGCACCACAAACGTTGGTGTCCCCCATGTTCCTGGTGGCCCCAGAGCTCCATCCGTGGCCCATGGTGGCCTTGGTGGCATCTCTGGTGGCTTCAGAGCTCCATTCGTGGTCCATGGTGGCCTTGGTGGCCTCAGACATGTGTCCAAGGTCCATGGTCTCCTCGGGGACGTCAGTGACACAAGTGTTGGTGTCCCTGGTGGCCTCAGAGCTCCATCCAAGGCCCATGGTGGCCTTGGTGGCCTCAGACATGTGTCCAAGGTCCATGGTCTCCTCGGGGACGTCAGTGACACAAGTGTTGGTGTCCCTGGTGGCCTCAGAGCTCCATCCAAGGCCCATGGTGGCCTTGGTGGCCTCAGACATGTGTCCAAGGTCCATGGTCTCCTCGGGGACGTCAGTGACACAAGTGTTGGTGTCCCTGGTGGCCTCAGAGCTCCATTTGTGGTCCATGGTGGCCTCAGGGACGTTGGTGACACGAGGGTTGGTGTCCCTGGTGGCCCCAGAGCTCCATCCAAGGTCCGTGGTGGCCTTGGTGACATCTCTGGTGGCCTCAGAGCTCCATCCGTGGTCCGTGGTGGCCTTGGTGGCACCACAAGTGTTGGTGTCCCCCATGTTCCTGGTGGCCCCAGAGCTCCATCCAGGACCCATGGTGGCCTTGGTGGCCTCAGACATGTGTCCAAGGTCCATGGTGTCCTCGGGGACGTCGGTGACACAAGTGTTGGTGTCCCTGGTGGCCCCAGAGCTCATGGTGGCCTTGGTGGCCCCACAAGTGTTGGTGTCCCCCATGTTCCTGGTGGCCCCAGAGCTCCATCCGTGGTCTGTGGTGGCTTTGGTGACATCTCTGGTGGCCCCAGAGCTCCATCCATGGTCCGTGGTGGCCTTGGTGGCCCCAGAGGCGTGTCCAAGGTCCGTGGTGGCCTCGGGGACGTCGGTGACACATCTCTGGTGGCCTCAGAGCTCCATCCGTGGTCCGTGGTGGCCTTGGTGGCCCCACAAGTGTTGGTGTCCCCCATGTTCCTGGTGGCCCCAGAGCTCCATCCGTGGTCCATGGTGGCCTCAGGGATGTTGGTGACACAAGTGTTGGTGTCCCTGGTGGCCTCAGAGCTCCATCCAAGGTCCGTGGTGGCCTTGGTGACATCTCTGGTGGCCTCAGAGCTCCATCCGTGGTCCGTGGTGGCCTTGGTGGCCCCACAAGTGTTGGTGTCCCCCATGTTCCTGGTGGCCCCAGAGCTCCATCCGTGGTCCATGGTGGCCTCAGGGATGTTGGTGACACAAGTGTTGGTGTCCCTGGTGGCCTCAGAGCTCCATTTGTGGTCCATGGTGGCCTCAGGGACGTTGGTGACACGAGGGTTGGTGTCCCTGGTGGCCCCAGAGCTCCATCCAAGGTCCGTGGTGGCCTTGGTGACATCTCTGGTGGCCTCAGAGCTCCATCCGTGGTCCGTGGTGGCCTTGGTGGCACCACAAGTGTTGGTGTCCCCCATGTTCCTGGTGGCCCCAGAGCTCCATCCAGGACCCATGGTGGCCTTGGTGGCCTCAGACATGTGTCCAAGGTCCATGGTGTCCTCGGGGACGTCGGTGACACAAGTGTTGGTGTCCCTGGTGGCCCCAGAGCTCATGGTGGCCTTGGTGGCCCCACAAGTGTTGGTGTCCCCCATGTTCCTGGTGGCCCCAGAGCTCCATCCGTGGTCTGTGGTGGCTTTGGTGACATCTCTGGTGGCCCCAGAGCTCCATCCATGGTCCGTGGTGGCCTTGGTGGCCCCAGAGGCGTGTCCAAGGTCCGTGGTGGCCTCGGGGACGTCGGTGACACGGGGGTTGGTGGCCTTGGTGGCCCTGGGTCTCCATCCGTGGTCCGTGGTGGCATCTCTGGTGGCCTCGTGGCTCCTGGTGGCCCCGGTGGCTCCTGGACCCGAGGTGGCCTCTGGGACCAAGGGGGCTCCGTCACCAACGGCCACCCCAGTAACTCCCAGTTACTCCCAGTTACCCCCAGTGCCCCCCCCACTGCCCCCCCAGTAACTGCCAGTAACTCCCAGTTACCCCCAGTGCCCCTCCAGTGCCCCTCCCAGTGCTCCCAGTAACTCCCAGTTACCTCCAG